CGGAAAAAACCTCACTACTTTTCGGAAAAAATTTATATGTTACCAGAAGCAACTCGTCTCATTTCTTTGAATTGAGAACTTGCTTACTGTGTAATATGTTATCTATATATATATGTTTTCAATAAAACGTATAATAATTTTTGAATGTGATATCAAGAATATAGAAATAATATTATAACAAATAAACCTAACAATTATCCTACTCTTTATATTCTGTAGTCGTCTCTTTCTTTCGAAACTTATTTTTTCGAAGGTTTCACTTCTAACACGTGTGATCTGCCCACATGATATTTTTTGTATTTCGTAACCCAAAGTAACGTTTCCGTTACTTACCGTGATCAATTCTTCATAATCGAAATTAAAGAGAAAAATAGGTTAGAATTTCTTCGAGTACCACGTGACATGGTCGTATCAAATGAAAGAAGTAAATCAACACGTCGCGACGTTTCATTAATCATTTTGAACAACGTATTACCGTATATACAATTGAGAATGATCATAAATTCGTTTGAAATTTTGTTAAGCACCAATTTGAGGATTTGTCAAAGGGAAAAATCCTTGAAGGAAATATTATAATAGATAGAACGTTTGACAAATGCATTGCTGCGGCTAACTTTGCCAAAAATTCGAATAAATTAAAGGCATTAGTAGAGAGCTTGAGTGATTTGTAAAATGTCGAGATACGATACCGGAGCACAGACCGTTTTATCTTGACGAGACATTTTTGAAATATTGTTCTTACACTTTCTTACTTATTAATCACTTTACGTTAGTAGACGATGAATACGAGTTGTTGAATGTCCTCGGGAAACCGGATTCATTTTGTTAGACATCTTTTGATTATCTTCTTATTTGTGTTTATTTAACACACTCTCCAACTGGTGAGAAGAAAATTGATTAAATCATCAAAATTATCTTTTACTCGAAAAACAATTATAGTTAGGATTCAATTAGGTTTTAAAAGTTCGCTTAACTTTATCGAGGGATCGCATTCCTCGCTTTCTCGAATCTTCGTCTCTTTTCTTTACCTTTCTCCTTTATCGTCCTTACAGAAGAAAGACGCTTGAGTTGCTCGAGTGAGATAATGAAATAACGATATAACAAGTGGAAACCACCCCCAACACTACCACCACTCTCCCAACCCCAGTTTAAATGATGTTTTCTTGGATTTATTTCAGGTTATTCCGTGGCGGCTTTACTCGCTATCCTTTTCTGCATTCCATTCGCGTTCAGAGTTTTCATTCATAAAGAGACAGGACAGTGGAACAATTGGCCTCAAGCTTTTTATCATGCACACCTCGAACTCTTTCTTGGAAACGGATGTCTTGGTAATATTATTTACGATTAGTCAAATACCAGGTCAATAAATATGAAATCATAATCATTTTCACATATACAATAAACAACGTGTATTTTTTATACAAAAATTTTGGTTTTATATTTACATGTACCTAGTATATCTGTTATTTATTTTAACGATTATTTCTAATTCTTTTTGTCCACGTTTAAAACGTTACAACAGGTGTCGGAGTGATGATGTTACTGGCATTGACGGTTGAGCGTTACGTGAGCGTTTGCCATCCAGGGCAACACACGCGACCACTTTGCGGACCGCCGCATTTGACCGTGGCTCTTATTCCTCTTGCTACCTTTTTGCTCTATCTACCCAGTATATTTCGTAGTGAAGTAACTACTTGCCTTTTGGCACCTGGAGGATCTCTCATCTATCAAAAAAGAGAGAATACATCCTTTCTACACTCCCTTTTCTATCAGGTATTGAAACTTATTATACATCTACACGTTTTTACATTCTTATGGTGCCTCCTGAAAAAATTTTACACCGCGTTATAAACAAATGCACTGAATAATTTGTGTGTTCTACTTTGTTCTATTCTGTTTAGGTATATAAAATAGTACTGGAAGTAGTTTTCAAGATCGCACCGACGATACTGCTAGCAGGTTTCAATCTGAGGATCATGGTGGTCTATAGAAGATCTTGCGAGCGACGTCGTCGTATGACTTTGTCAAGAACTGTTAGCAACGATGAAGATTCTAGAACGTTTGCCGAAGAACGAAGGTTGATACTTCTTCTTGGTAGCACCAGTATACTCTTTCTGGTCTGTGTCAGCCCAATGGTTATTCTTAACGTCACTCTAAGCGAGAATAACCTCAGTTATTTTTCTTATCAGGCGAGTTTTCTTTTCAAGAATAAACATTATTATCAATTTTCTACTATTCTCTTCCTTATTATCATTCGATTGCGTAGGTTTTTCGTGCTTTGGCCAATCTTCTGGAAGTTCTCAATTACTCCATCACTTTCTATATTTATTGTCTCTTTTCTGAGGACTTTCGAAACACCTTGATGCGTACGTTGCAATGGCCTTGGCTGGTCAAAAGTGGACAAGAAGGACGAAGAGCGCCTATGAAACGTTCGCCATTGGCAAGACCCACCACAACGACGACTCCTCCTACAACCGCTGTGCCAACGCCAGGTCATTTGACGCGTGCCAGTGTCTAATGATGAAGAAGACAAGTGTTCGATTTGGCTATTTAATCTGATGCCCAAAAAGATACTAAACTACTTTCTTGGCGATTTATCAAAACTCAACGTTTAGGTATCCTCGCATATTATGCGTTGAGCGACTAAAACATTTTTAAACGATATCGTACTTGCTCCTCCTCGTACTCCTTCATTTATCTTCGCATCTTTAGATAGTAAGTTTTTATATAAGAATAAATAAGAAAATCGACTGCCAAAGACGATAATGTTTTAACAACATTAGTAAGAAGAGAAAAAATGAATGAATGGTACATAATCGTATTTAACTCTTTCCTTACCAAAGCTGTTTGCTATATACTCAAAATGACTATATTTTATAGTCACCTAACCAAATTAAATTGATTGAATCGTAGGTAAAGTTAGATATATCGATAACTTTATTTATCATTGATTTTATATTCCTGAAACCTTCAAAAAAGATTTTTTTTGTGACTTTTAACAATGGGGATATGTTTAATGGACCCCGTGGAGTCTTTCTCAACAAGTTACTATGAATAAATGCTTATGCACACCTGTAAATAATCAATTAATAAGTGAACGTTGAAAGCACCCCATTTATGACTCACTGCGTAACAAAAATTACGGTCTTTTTATCAATCGCGTATAATGCAATTAATATTTGTCCGATTTTAAAATATAATTATAGAATTTTCACCTGACAGTAAGTACAATTTAATTATATTTATCAAAATTTACATAAATAACAAATGTAATCGTTAATAAAGAATATATTGCAACGTGTTTTTCGCCGATTCGATATTACAAGCATCTATTTTAAAGAGTTCAAAGTTATAACATTTCATCGAATTATGTACTTTAATTGATATTAAATTGTTTATGGAACATTATCTAATAAATAAAAAAAACCTAACCCCATAGCTTTTATTCGCGATTTTGTACAATAATGCAGAAACGTTCTTGTAAAGATCTTACACTTTATCTACTACTTTATGTAATTATAAATAAATATAATTACAAATGAATAGATATATAATAAGATAATAAGAATAATAAATAGATAATTCTAAAAAAAGAAACAAACATTTTTAAACATTAAAATTTAAAACAATTATTTTTTCGTCAATTTATTTTTGATTTTAAATCCGTTATTTTGTTGGTCAAGAAAATTATTTTATTTTTCAATTTAATTTGAAATTGAAAACGTTGCGCGCGAAGTGTTCTCATTGGTTGTTTGTGACTATACTCCTTAGAATGGAATCAGGCGTTGCAGTCGCTCAAGGGAATCCCCGTTCTATCTAGTTCTATGGACGTGGTCGTAACGATCACAGCTTCGATCACGCCGAACATATTCAAAAGATCTATTCATTACTAGGACACAACGGAAAGTCCCTAGCACTTAGTAACGCAGCCGCAGCAACAGTCAGGTAGCATCTCGAAGTATTATCGATATCTCGCAAGGATCGATGTTTTAGAATAAAATAACCTAAGAAACTAGACGCGCGAGTCAAAATAAGATATCATGTAATCAAATCGATGTAAAAACCGCGAAACGTAACGTTTTTTTTGCCTTTTTCAACCAATTATTCTAATGAACCAATTTTGTTCAAGTAAAATAAAAAATTATGATGAGTTAATGTGTATATTTTGATTTTCAAAAGTGTCTACGTGATTTAACATTGTTACATTTAAAACTACGTATTTTCAAACTAGTGTAGTAACAAAGAAAAGTTTGAAAAAGAAGCTAAATTGAAAAAAATAATTTGGTGAATGAATTTTTCACAAACAATTATACAATTAAAATATTAATAATACAATGGAAAAAAATAATCTATTAGAATCAAAAAAAGAAACGTGTGTTATAGATTTAACATCAGATGATGATGAAAATTTAAAAGCATCTACAAGTAAGAGCAATAAATGTCAAATAAAGAAACGAAAAATAAGTGTAAATGGAGTACCACTGATAATTCATAACAAGAAAATGCGATATAAATATATACGAGTACCTCTAAACAATGTTGTAGAGAAAATTAAAATAAAAAAGAAAGATGTACCTAAAACTTTGTGTAATGAAGAAACTACAGTATTATATTCTAAACATGATAAAGTTGAAAAAGAAAATATTCTTACATCATTAGCTACAATTTTGAAAGTTTCAAATGATACTGTATTACCTAAAAATGTAAATACAAAAGATAATAACGTGTTATATTCTAAATGTAATAAAACTAATGAAGAAATAGATCTCGTAAGTCCAGCTAAAAATTTAGATAACAGAGATATTAATATTGATACATCATTTGTTAAACCAAACGTAATTTCACAAAATAATACTCCTACAGTTTTACCTACAAATTTGGATACCGAAGTTACTAAGGATATCATAGATAAAAATGTTAGTTAATCTTCAAATAATTTTCCTTCTATTTTATTTTTATTATGTACAAATGATGATGACTTTCTGAAATGTTATAAATGTTTTCAGTTTAATGTACCTGAGGACAAATTAAATCAAGAAATGGAGAATACTGTAAAAGAAAATGAAATATTAATGCAAAACCATGTATCTAACACTCAGTTGATTGGTAATAATCCAGAAAAAGAAAATACGAATACGTACTGTTCGAATTATATTAATATTTGTCTTTTAACTAATCAAATTGCGAACAGAGAAAATGTTTGCCGTTTTTATTGGTGGGATGCATATGAAAATCCATTAGAAAGAAACATTTATTTTTTTGGAAAAGTTTATATAGATTCTAATAAAACAACATATTCTTCTTGTCTTACAATTAAAAATATACCAAGAAAAATATATCTTTTACCAACGAAATATGTAAGTAAAAATTTTATTAGAAAACTTTTCTTATAAATTAATTATTAAAATATATGTGATATATATCTTTCAGTTAAAGAATTCATTGATTGGTAATACAAAAGAAACTACCAAGGAAGACGTATATAACGAATTTAATAAACTCGCCAATAATCTTGGTATAAGTGAATTCAAAAGTCGTTGGGTTAACAAAAAGTATATCTTTCAAAAAGATATATTGGACAATGAAGAATGTTTAGAAATTATATATCCAGCAATGAATCAAAGTATAAATTTCAATTACACTGGTCCAGCTATAGAGCAAATTGTTGAAATTAGTTTATCACCTTTAAAATCATTACTTTTGGAGAGTAATATCAAAGGGCCTTGTTGGTTGAACATAAAAGATCCTATGAGTGATTTGTCATATCCAAGTTGGTGCAGAATAAATGTATAATTTTTAGTATATTAAGTATTAATATCTCATATTTAATTAAAATTATATTTAACAGTTATGTATATTACTGTTTTTTATTTGAAACATTTTAGATTATTTGTAAGAGTATAGAAAATATTTCTGTCAGTGATCTTTCTTTGAGCAAATCTTTGCCATTACCACCGATGATAGTAGCTACAATAAATATTTGTACATATCTGGATGATAAAACTAAACAGGATCAAATACTCATGGTTGTTATTCTTTTAAAACATGAATATCCATTTGTCGAAGATGCACCAAATCAACTGTTCAAACAGACTTTTTGTTGTAAGTTTATTTATTGATTTAAACGTATGTGCATATTATGTAATTTAACTGATAAACTTTTGTATTTATGTATTCTGTTCAGTGATAACTAAACCAAATGGCACTCAATGGCCACTGGAAGTTGATCAGGTACTTTCAAATGTTACCAATATTGACATAATTAAATGTGAGAATGAAACTGCCTTATTGGAGCAATTAATGTACATATTAGAAAAAACTGATCCAGACTTATATGTAGGTTACGATTCCAATTCTCAATTGGAATTTTTATTACGTCGAATGATAACTTTGAACATCACTAATTGGCATAAAATTGGAAAAATTAAAAGCTATGCATCTTTTGGTCCTAAAGTAAATATTTAAATTCATATTTTTATTCATAAATTTATAGATGAATAGTATTATTATTGTTTTTTGATTTTAGGATAAAATATATATGGATCAAGTAGTACCAGGTCGTCCTGTATGTGATTTAAGATATTTATCTTTGGAATTAAATATAAAAAGTAATAATTTACAATCGCTTAGTGAACAAGTGAGTACTAAAAATGTTTGTATTTTTACAAAAGAAAACATTTAAATAAATTCGATTTAATTATAGGTGTTAAAAAAAAAATATAATCAAAATGAAGAAATAAAACGAGATAATTATATTTCATATTATTCTTCGGAAAAACATTTAAAAGATTTCATTGAATTTACTGTTGCCAATACATGGGATATTTCGTTAATATCATTAAAACTCGATGTAATTTCATTTGTAATTGAACTGACACGTATATCTGGTAAATATTACAAATTCTATATATATGAGAAGAAAAAAAGAGATATTATAATTTTCAATGTGATTCTATTCAGGTTATTATTTATCAAAATTATTACAAAATGGTCAAATTCAAAGAAATGAATTTCTTTTATCTCATGCTTTTTATGCCAATAATTATTTATTACCAGATTTTCGAGAAAAAACTCAAGAAATTGGTGAGTTTATTAATAAAGAATTTACTTATATTCTAATTTAAAGTAATAATCATTTATTTCTGTATTTTATGATTACTTAATAAAAAAATTTCAGGAATTAAGAAAACAAATTATGAAGGTGGTTTAGTTCTTGATCCAAGAAGAGGATTTTATAATAAATTGGTTTTATTAATGGATTTTACCTCTTTATATCCCAGTATAATAATAGAATACAATTTATGTTTGAGTACAATACCTGGAGCAACAACGTGCATTGATTATCAGGTAAAATTTGTTTAACATAAATTGCTTGTTAGTTTAATTATATTTAATGTATCTTTTGAAATAATACGTACAGGAATTAAAAATACCAGAATCGAATTCAGAACTTGGTATAATACCAAAAGAAATGTATAAATTAATTAAATATAGAAAACAACTGAAAGAATTAATGAAATCACCGTGTATTTCGTCGAGTTTAAAAATGCAATATAATACCAAGCAATTAGCTTTGAAACTCATGGCAAACAGTTTATATGGCTGTTTAGGTGCACCAAGTTGCAGATTTTATGCCAAAGGATTGGCTGCTTTAATTACCTGTTTGTTACCATAATCAATTATTATAATATACAATAATGGGTTTGACAAAGTATATGTAAATAATAATAATTTTTTTTTTATAGCAAAAGGTAGAAAAATTCTATCCAATACAAAATCTCTGATCGAAAGCATGAAACACCAAGTCATTTATGGTGATACCGATTCTGTAATGATCAAAACTGATGTTCTTGATTACGATAAAGTTATTTCTATTGGAAATAAGGTACATTTAAAAAAGAAATGAATAAAAAAATTGATACAATTCAATTTTAATTGTTTGAGTCCCAGTAGCGCGATCGCTGTTTATATTTTTTATTGAAAAATGCAATGTTATTGATAAAACGTGATTTTATAATTGTATTTTAATTGGTCGCGCTACTCGGCATTTGTTGACATGATTTTATTAAAGTATCCTGGTGAAACTTGGATAGTTTATGCATTGTTTCAAATAATATATTTGATTACATTTGTAAAATAGATCAAAGAAGAAGTAAACAAATCCTTTAAACATATAAAACTAAGTATTGATAGCGTATTTCGATATTTATTACTTATTCAAAAAAAGAAATACGCAGCATTAGAAATGAACAAATTACCAAACGGACAAATAGAATTATCACTAATTTATAAAGGTTTATTAATAGCACGGAGAGATTGGTGTCCATTGTCTGTTCAAATTGGAAAGTAAGTTTATATTTAAATTCAATTATTATAACTAAGTGTGTTGAGATACTTTTAATGTCAAATATTTTTTAGAGATATATTGCACATTATTTTGTCTGATGCATCGATTCAAACGAAAAATAATTCCATTCATGAATTGTTCAAAAATATTTCAAAAATGATCAGGGAAAATAATATACCCGTGTCATCTTTTTTAATATCTAAAAACTTATCGAGAAATCTTAATAATTATCAGGATAATAATCAGCTACATATACAGGTAGCTAGAAGATTAAATGAAAGAAGTGGAAGAATATGGAAAGTTGGTGATACTGTGTCTTACGTGATATGCAAGGTTTTTTTATATTTTTTCTGTTTATTATTTCTGGTGGATAGATTGAGCTTCAGTCAAAAGATTAATGTTAAAATAATTTTATTATAGGACGAATCAAATGTCCAGAAATCATATGATATAAATGAATTTAAAGAGGACAAATCTTTAAAGATTGATATCAATTATTATTTAACGAAACAATTTTTACCTGTTTTATCAACAATTTGTGAACCAATTATGAAAATAGACAAGAAGTTAATTGAAAATTTAGGTATTCTAACAATATTTCAAATATAACATTATTTATATTATTAATTAGAATAATTAACCCTAATTTTTATTATTAAATAATTTGGGATAAAGTAAAGGAAGAGATAGAAACAGAGACATCAAAAAACATTGAAGGAAAAACCGTAACCCAAGGCGAATTAAATCATTGCAAAGCTTTTACATTTAAATGCCGAAATTGTAAAACTGATATTACAATTACAAATATTTTGTCTAATTCTGTAAGTAATTTTTTATACAACAAATTTTCTTTTAATTACATACAAGTGTAAAATTATTTTTTTATTACAGTCTAATGATTGTCAACTATTTTTACAAACTACTTGTTCGAATGATAAATGTAAAACTCCTTTATGGAAAAATGCTAGAACTATAGCTGATGAATTGCAACTTAGTATAAAAAAGGCTATAGATATGTATGATTTGAGTGGTTTTAAATGTGAGAATCCTAAATGTAATTATGAAACTAAATGGCCTCCATTAGATTCATCGACGAAACTCGAGTGTAAAATTTGTAAAAAATCTTATTTATCTAGAAAAGTGAGTATATTTCTTGATAACGTATTATGCAAAAATACTTCAAATTAATTCAAATAAAAAGACTTTGTGTATTATTTTTTACAGTATACTAAATTAAATTTGCAAGATCAAATAAATTTCTATCGTGATATCTTTGATCTCAGTAAATTACAAAATGAATGTAAGTAAAAATGTATAATGAATTTTAATTTTGTCTTTATACAAATATTGATTATTTTTACTAAAATGAATTATATTATTGTAGCTTTGGTGAATACTTGCTCTCAAGAAGTAATATCAACTTATAATATGCTTAAGGATAATGTTAATAAATATGTTGAAATATATTCCAACTCGATTGTGAGTCTCGATCAATTGTTTCGTTATAAGTTTAAAAAACATTCAGAGAATAATATAGATTTTAATATTTCTTTCAATGATTATATTCATGCGGAGGATGATAAATAAATGGAAATGTATTTCGTTAACACGTTAAGTACTAGTCAATGTATGGGGCCTTTGTAATTATATTTATTTATAATTACATAAAGTACTTGTATAACAAGAACTACATGTAAAACAATAACTGATCAATGTAAAAACCGTTCTATTTTTTCTAATAAATCTAATATTTTCATAAATTGTCAAGTTTATGTAAACAAAAGACAAATTTCTATTATGATTATTTTTTTTTCTTTTTAATAATATATTTTCTAAATTAACCAGAACAAATAGTTAAAAAATATGGTCATTTGAAACTTTTGGCAGCTGTCAATTGATACAGTAGAAAAAGATAACAGAGAATATCTAATAGAAAATCTATTATCTAATGATAAATATATTATTTTTAATAAACAAGTAAAAAAAAAAAACAAGGTGTAATCTTTGATATGATAATCGACAAGTGATAATCTATCATAAACTGATTTCAATTATAAAGAAAGACGACAGAGGTCGTCATGATCTCATGATGGTGCAATAGAAAGAGGTTATTCGTTTGATATTTCTTATTAAATACAAATTTGTTTTCCAGCGGTCTATATATTATACGTGTATATTTATATGTAAAAAATATATAATATGGCACATAATGAAACAAACAAGATGGATAAATCACCGGTAAGTAATGTGTATGTGTATATGTACTTTCAATATAATATTTCTATACTTTGTAATACAATAATGTATAATCTATTAATTAGGCTTTAGAATCACCGGCGGATATCTCAGATGAAGCAATAGAGGCTTTCCAAAATTGTCTAGAGAGGCCAGAAAAGCAAAGGAATAATACGTATGGGTTTATAATTGGTGGTATTCTTGGATCAACTATAACAATAGTAAAAAGACCGTTCCAAATAAGCTATCTAATTTTTCCTATGTTTGGAGGCATTTACGGATCTATTATAACACACTATATGAACAGTAGAAAATGTGCACTAGAACTCTTTAGTACTGACCCAAATTCGTCTAAGTTTGTTATTCGTCCTAGGTTTGTTACAATTCTTTTTTTTTTTCAAGATTCTAAGTTATCATCTGATGCTATAAATTTCTTCAAAAATATACCTTTTTTTTATAAGATTATATTGCTCATTTAAGGAAGCATGACTCTTCCCAACTAGGAGATTCATCTGAATTGAACAGAGAATCTCAAATGGATATAGAAACTTTCCAACAAATAGATCAGCAAGAAGACTTTCCTTCTATTAATGATCGTATGTAGATGATTTACACTTTGATCAAAATTATTTAAATGATTTATAAAGTATGTTACATTTTAAGGTGAATATCAATCAAATGCGAATGTCGATGTAGAAGAAAAGAAAATGCTCACAGGATTAACTTATGATGAGTTAAGAAAGCAAAATAGAGATAATTATCAGTCAAATTTACTAGGGCAAAGGAAAGCAATATGGCAAAAACAAATGTAAGTAGTATTATGAAATAATTGTCCTTGTGCATCATAGATTAACGTATAAATTATACTTTGCAGGGCAGTCAACTCGAATAAAAATAAGTCCTCGCAAAGCCAAGACTTTAAATCAGGTATCAACGAAGAATCTGATCTTTTCCCTTCAGCGAGTGATACTGGGAAACATAAAACTAAATATGGAGATATATGGGATTGAATGAATAAAAATAGCACAAACATTTTGTTTCCTCTGTATATGTGTGTATGCTAATATTATATAAAAGTATTTAAGTAACATTTGTTAATTGTGAATTATGGTGAAATGTGAATATTATATGTAGATAATTAATAGTTTGGTTTATAATTTCGGCATTTTTATTTTTTTATATTCAATTCCCCAATTATATAAATGCAAACGATTGAATATACATCTATATGGAAATCTAAACGCCATTTTTTCTATGACGTACGATTCAACGCTATGAGCGTAATTAGATGACTGTTCTCCATTAATTATGCCGTCATCATATCTTCGCCTTGACATACCCAGAACTTTGGTTCTCTGTTATAAGAGAATTGCCGACGAGTTCGTTCCCTGTAGTTAACATAAGTTTAGCGACAATCGGCTTTACAGTATTCTTTTAGCAATGCAACCCTCAACGCATTTGCATTTAGTAATATGCATATGTTGATTCATATTCTAGTCAGAGTGAACTCATCTCGATGATTTAACGCGATTTAAAAATCTTTCTACCAGTACACCTTGTCTCGGTAATCATTTGAAATTGTTCCATGGCTAATATCGTCTGTTAAATATACAAATAAATCTCTTATTTCGAATCGATTAAATCAAAATATCGATATTTATTATTAAAGTAAGTAGTTTCCTCTGTTCAAATTTATTTTTTTTTACCCGTGATGTTTGTAAATAATAGGGGAAGAGAGAAAAAAAGAGATAGAGAAAGATGCCTTCAGCATTTCAGAGACGTACAAAATGGCGGACATTTTTCTATTTGTTTCAGTGGTAGAAATAGCGCATGATCGTGATCGTTGATGCATAGGCATGCTGCTGGAACTGATGACGGATAGTTAGAGGGATATAATAAACCGACACTCAGAAACTATACTTTACTATTTGCTCAAACACACGTAGTGCGCATGATTTTTTTCCGTGCTAGCCATTATCTTCATTTGCATTCGATCTTGCGTCGTTTTTTTTTCATTTTTTACGCTTTACCTATTGATCAAAGATATTTAAATAAGTCAACATTGTTTGAAATATTTCAAAAAATTAATGTATAATTATCAAGTATGAGATTTATATGTATACGCGTATCTGTATAGCAAATATCTTGCGTATTAAATTATCGAGACTTTGTATTTTGTAAATATAAACTTTTTTTTTTATTATTAATACCCTTACTAATAAACTTTTTATTTTTATTTTTATTTTAGAAAACAGAAATAACAAAAAAATGGAAGTTCGCGTAGACGTTTACACGATTATCATAGTTTCGTAAATTTTGAAACACTTGTTGGAAAAACAATGTTTGTATATTCGCATCTAGCATTTTTGTATGAATAGGTAATCAATAATAGTAAAATTTGATCGAATTAAAGAAAAGTTTGTACATAGATATTATGTTTTTAGAAGGGTGTTTAACGAGAAGTTACACAGCTTTTTCCCTGCTATTACATCGCGAGTAGCACGCGACGTTAAAGAGAAGAACGTAGCGAGGGACGCGGGACGTAGCATTTGGACTCAAAGCCAGCCATTGGCTATTCGAACCGACCAATGGGCGACTACTTCCATTCATAAGTTGCGAGCCTTCCGTAGTCGTAGTGGGGGCCATTCTCCTTATTATCAGACTTAAAAATGCGATATTACAGAATCACTTTTGATAGAAACAAGGAAGACAAAGAAATAGGAGAAAAGAAGAGGAGAGAGAGTGAGAAAAAACATCTTTCTTCCAAATTATTTCTCTTTTCTCGAGATTTTCTATTTCTATCTTCGACTAATTGCAAAAAGAAACTTTGTTTCCTTTTTTTTTTTTTTTAAATATTAGCGGAATCGAAAACTAACGCTGTTACTACGTATGCCAAATTATTTCTAATATTTTAAATCAAAAATCCGATTAATGATATTAAAAATATGCATACCAGATAGAAAAAGGTTGTTAACGTGATTAATTAATTTAGTTAATTAATTGAATTATTGATTAATAATAAAAACTTGTTTGAATTTTGTGGTTAAAAAGTGACATTAGTTTCCGGTCCACCTAATAATACGGTTTATTTTTCATTTATTAATTATTATTATATAAGAAATAAATATAGCTATCGATATATGACACACATTGTAATGCATTATTTCATTTTGTTGCATGAAAATATGTAAATAAGTTTTCTACATAATACCGTGGCAAATAAAGAGGTTAATTGTCAGGAATGATAATTTGAAGATAATTAGGGTAAAATAAGACGTGTTGGTTTGGTCGCGTAAAAGAAGGACCCTTTTGCTACGATTCACGTGTTTATTTTAAATGATCACGTGTAGAAAGGGGAGTCACGCAGGTGCAGGTCATGTGAAATATTTGCACTTTGTCGTAATTTGCGTAACCCGATGCATATATAATAAATCCGTGGTGGTAAAGCGCCAGGATAGAAAATCGTTTCACAATCTAAAGAGAAAGGGAATCTCTGGGAATGTGGGAGGGGAGACGCGCTCGCGGAGATGTTTGCTGCGGCTGCACAACTTTAACAAGAGAACCAACTACGCACACATATATACATTTCAGTATATACTTGCATACATATAGAAATAAAATAGGTTTTAGTTGATTTTTGAAGTAAAATGAAATAATCTACGAGAACGAAATGTGAAACGAAGTATTTGTGTTACAAGTTGTTCTCGTTAAAATCACATTTGGATATTTTTAAATAATTAAATCAAATATGGACAATAAAAGCATGGTGTAATGGTGCTTTCTTTATTTCTTCCTTTCTTTTTTATTGAAATATTATTCTGATTATATTTTAGACATCTTGTAGTCAATTTTCAAATCATTGGTATATTTTCTAATACGTGTTCCACATTCTAAAGACAATCAATCAAACTTTTTTTTACAAGACGTTTTACATTTCGATAGAAAATAAATCACGAAGATATCCCCCTTTCTTTATTTTGTTTGTTTGTTTTTTATTTCTATTCCAACGTAAGAGAAAAAAAAAAGACTTTGAAAGATGACCCATATTTTCCGTGGGCTATCGATTCGCCGTCATACCGAATAAAACTGGATTTCAACTAATCTGTTATCTATAGATATCACGATAGAAAAAATACTTACGGTTATTTACGATCTAACTTATACGAAGCGAGTCATACGAGTATCTAATTCGTTAAAAGTAAGATATCTTACTTTTATCGCTATCTTTACTTCTATTTTAATAAATACTAACTTAAACACATTTTACATATATTGTGCACTTATTATTTTCTAAGTATAACTATTTATGCTTTAGTTGACCATATTCTTAGGTTATAAGGTAATATTTTTATTGTAATAAATACGAAGCGAGTCATACGAGTACCTAGTTAATTCGTTAAAAATAAGATATCTTACTTTTATTGCTATCTTTGCTTCTATTTTTAGTGAATACTACCTTAAACACCTTTTAAATGTACTTATAAATAAATAATTTCTAGGCATAACTATTTTTATTAATCTTTAATCGATCATATTCTTCTATATCTATTCACTTTACCAACTTCGACATATCTAAACCACACGGAATGCATTTACAATCGATTTTCCATTTCGTTGAATCGCGATTGGATTGGAAGAGAAAGTGGGGTGAATAAAAGATTATCGAATAGAATAGAATAGAAAGAGAGAGAGAGGGAAAGGAGAGGAAGGGATGATAGAAGTGTGCCAAAGATCGGTGGTAGGATCCTTTCAATCGAACTCATCAATAATCGGTGCTTTCCTAGGAGATACTCTACCAAGTTACCTTCTTTCGTTGTACGACCCATTTAAAGTGGGGGTGAACGAAAGTGGGGATACAGTGAGAGGTTCCACCAGCATGCGTACACACAGAAATACACACATACATAAAGATAGAAAAAGTTTTATTTACAAAAAGTTACATACACCGTTGACTTTGACTTAAATGAGGATGTTTTTTAACGCGTTTATTCGTAACAAACGTAATCGTGTTTAAATAGACGAATAATAAGAATGAGGGCCATTAATGCCGATAAGGAAGAAAAAAAAAACCCATAAAATATATAAAGAGAGTTTTATCAATATTTACAAACTTGTGCCCCAAAGAGGAAAACAGAGATAGAGGATATAGATAGAGGGAGAAATAGAAAGAGAGAAGATAGACCGACACTTTTTTTTCAATACTAGTTGAAAGAGAGGGAGAGAGAGAGATGTAGAAAGAGGGGGAGGGAGGCGTGCTTGATGGCCGCCGCCTAGACTCGGTGCGCCGTTCGGATCGGTCGCGCCCGGGGCGTGAGCCGGTTGTGAACGAAAGGGTGGGAGGTAAAAGAGAACGAGAACGAGAACGAGAATGAGAATGAGAGAGAGAAAAAGAGAGAGAGAGATCGCGAAGAACCCGGTTCAGAGTGGAGGGCTGCGTTCACCGGGCAGTTACTCCGGAACCGTTGCCTTGACGACACGCATTTCCACGCATGCGCGTATGCGCGAGAAGTGGGTGCACATTGGAAGTCCTCATCATCATCATCAACATTATCATCATCATCATCACTCTCGTTGTTTGAGAAAAAGAGAGAGAGAAAGATCACGCGAATCAACGCTTAAAACATTTTTCTTTATCCACCAATAGGAATTAAGAACTCAAACATCTTTTAAACAGATTATGCTAGTGTTGTTGTCTTGAATTATAAAACTTTGTTTTTTTTCCTCTTTCTCTCTTTCTATATATCTTTTTTTTAGTTTCTTAGTTAAGATTGCACGCATTGACATTACTGAAAAATGTCAGCCGAGTCGAGTCAAATTTTAGATTATTTTTTATATAATTTAGGACTCGATTAATTCGTCCATATGGCAAACAGTTGTTTCCTGGACTTAAGTATAAGTCCTTATATTTCTAATTTTGAAAGGTTTGAAATGAGTTTAAACAAAAAGGAAAAGGAATATAATATAATGGCAAATGGAGAAAGATTGGAAAGGTTGAAAAAGAGAGAGCGATAAGTTGAGAGAGAAGAGTGTTAACGAGAGAAAGCCTTGGAGGAGCCAACGCCTCTCTAACTTTTTGATCATCCTTGTTATCGTCGTCGTTGTCGTCATAGTCATAGTCATAGAACATTATCAAAAGTACGGTTGCTTGGTTGAAGGATGATCGCAACCTTGAAAGAACATTGCTCGTAGCTGGAGATCTTGGTCTCTCTCTCTTTCTCTCTCTTGGTTTAGTGTGGGCAGCAGAGAGGAGCGCGCGTCGAGGTGGTCCGAGCGAGTCGAAGGAGAGAGGCGTGCCCCAGTGCCGTTCGAACGTCCGATGTCTCCGCACGAGGACGCCGCGAATACCAGGAGAGGAAGAGCCGAGAGTACGCGTGCCGTCGCCGAGCACGAGCAGGCATCTTCTTCGTATTCGTTTTCGTCTTGGTTGTTGTTGCCGCCGTCGTCGTCGTCGTCGTCGCCGTCGTCGTCGTCGCCGTCGTCGTCGTCGTCGTCGTCGTCGTCGTCGTTGCCGTCGTTGTCGTCGTCGTCAGCGTCGTCGTCGTCGTCGTCGTCGTCGCCGTCGTCGTCGACGTCGTCGTCAAAGAAACGTTACCGAAAGATATCATCGTCGATTCGTCGGTCAACCTCAGATGTCTTCTTTTCTTCGTAGCACCACCTGCCGCTCTGTGCTTTCGCGTGGTTGCATCGACAGCGGCAGGTCCTCTTATCGATCCTCTCCAATTTTTCCTCTATTCTCGAAGGAAATTGTCGATAGGTGGTCCTGCTGGTCCACTGCGATCATGTTTACCGATAAAAAAAGAAGGAAAATTATTCGGCCAGTTTTACGAATAACTTCGCGGAGTTTTCATCGATTAGTTCGCGAGTGACAAACTGTTTGAAATAAACAAAACGGGGTGGAACGGAGAGAGACGGGAGAGGATAGAAGAAATAGATGAAATCCAAAGACGGTTTTATATACCGGTTGATAGTTACAACCCAAAGTATTAGAGTTTGCGGACTATAGTATATGATTATTTGATGGTGCAGATATAGAAGAGAATAAGTTGGTGTTATAAGTAAAATAAGAAAAAGAAGAAGAGAAAGATCGAAGGTGACTAGGTGTTTCTTAGATTGGATGGTTCCGCGAGGGTTAAGCATCGAGAGGTCGACTTGGGAGCAACCAGAGCCGGAACAGCAACGTTTCTACGATTCTCCGCCACCACGGATGGACGTGAGCGTGTGCTGTTTACCCGCCAGTGCCGGCTCGGGGGCCCAGCACTCTCATCCGGCGAGTTTGCCGTCCGGTGGACAGTCGACGATCCAGGCACCTTATCAGTATGCCGATCAGATAGTACCGGATCGGGGTCAACCCGACGGACTCGCGGTACTCGGCTGTACCGGACAGAACAACTGGCAACAGATCTCAAACTCGTCCACCGTCGCGGCTGGTGTCACTGCGACAACCACAGCGTACATCGATTATTCTTGGCTGCAGATGCAGGTGAGATGCCTAATACAATTTTATTAATATTCTTTATCTTTACAAAAGATTTCTGATAAATTTTCTTTAGACTTTAAACAAGTTTTCGATATATAAGTCTTACTAGAATCTAATTTCAAGTTTAACAGAAAAATTAATGCAACTCGTGATACGATTGATACGAACTAATCTACATTTTTAAGGGTTGTTTATTTGAATAAAATCTCGTTTTGTTAAATAATCTAGTTATAATTGTATATAGAGTTAAAAAATGTTAGATTTTGATGTTAGAAAGATATTGTACGTTCTTTTATTTGAAGCAGGTTATCGGTAGGTTATCGGTGGGTTATCGATTTCCACGAAACGTTAGATCGTAAGATAATAGACTCAAAGTAATAATACCCATTACTATTATCTCAGCTCGAATGACTCTTCTCTCTTTCTCTTTCTCTTTCTCCCCCTTGTAGACGTGCCGGCATAAAGCTACGTTGTTGACAGGGTAAATATCCTTTGATACGCCGTCCGTCTGGCACACGCGCCACGTACCTTACATAGTACCTACGCCTTTCCACCTTACCAACGAACTCTTCTTGGAAAACACCTTCTCATCCAACCTTTCCAAATCTTTTTACAAGCTTTCCTTCTTCGATCTATCTAACTATCACAAATAATATCTCAAAGTTATACATTTTGTTCTTTTTCTTTTCTATTTATTTAGATTCAACGATACATCGTTTTAAAACATGTCGACAAAGTTGCAATCGGTCCGGTTCTTAATTTATTGTTCAAGAAAACGTAAATTTTTTTGTCGAACAGTTTTATCAGACAGAGTCGAAGTTAATCTGTCGTTTGCGATAAGAATTGCACGGTCGAGTTTGCAACGCATTTCAGGATGCCTTTTGCGAACGAGATAATTGTATTTACGAGATGATGAAATTCCCTGTCGTTTATATATCTTGGACAAGATACGAATATATCTTTTGTAATTATAGAAGGAATTAAGTTTAATCTATATTTACAGTATAATATTCATAGTTTTATCATATTTCTTAATCAATTACTATCATAGTAGTAATTTATGTCTGTATAATATTTTTTTATTATATTTTTCTATCATAAAATCAAATTTCTAACTTAAATATATCGCAATATTCCTCTAAAGCCACATTTTAAAAGTTTTAAATTGTTAGAAAATAAGCGTACCGATTGTAATTCCGATTAATACGCGTAGTTAGAACCATAACGATCTTGATAATGGTTTCTCGCGAGAGATAATCGATTCGAGACTAATCTTCGAATCGTTAATATTCTTTTACATCCATTGTATACGTACAGATCGGTAATAATAATTAGCTATTAACCCGTAAACACAATCCGTATGCATTGTGACGAGCGCGTGTAAGATAATAAGCGGACGGAAATCCACGATTATTGTGCCCGAGGCAGAAAGGGCACCGAAACATCCAAAGGAACACCGGACGAACCATTTCCACGGTTCACCGCCCTTCGTTTCAGAACTGCGTATGATTATTACCGGTGCCAACGATTATTTTCCTTTGCTATAGGGGGGACCATTGGGGAACGAACGTAATTAGCATTAGATGTGAAACGAGTTGACGCAGCTTGGGAATCATACGTTCAAAAGTCAACAGGATTTTTTCCCTATTTAAGGATCATCATTCAAGGAAATTGAACACACGATCCTTCGTCAAAGTCCTTTATCGTTTACGCCACACACACATCCCCCCCCCACACACAAAATGATTTATTTAAATTATCAAATTAAAATTATATTTTATATATAATAAAATTATATATATATATTATATATTATATACAAATATTATTATGTATATATTATTAATAATATTATATAAAATTAATAAAAAAAAACATTATAATAATATATTATATATAATAAATTATTAAATTATTTATTAATTTAATATTAAAATATTAATTTAGTATTATATTATACATATATCGAATTAAATTATTTTATAATATTTGGCTTTTTCACATTTTCTTTTTTTTTTTAGATTCTATTTTATATTTAACCATAAAATAAAAAAAATCTATGATATTTCAATCAATCTCCTTATATTCCTTGGATGCAACAAACACATTGTTGATTACTAATCGTGTTGCTCATTGAACGATTGAACGCTAGAAAGATTCAAGGTATTCTAGTGTTTTTCTTAAAAAAATTGCTAGGAATAAAAACAAGAAGAGGAAAAAAACCAAGAAATGGCAAATGGACGTCGATAAGGATTAAAAGTTTATTGACGCATAAATTACTCGTTATCTTGAAAAGAACAAATTGCGATCTCGTTGTGATATTGTGTAGGTAAACAAGTGCGTTTAGTCGCAGGTACGTTAGAGACGTGCACGCGTGTAAAACGTGAGAAATTGTAACGGTGTGATATCATTGCATACGTATGTATAAAATGGTAATACACCGGTACGATTCATTTGAATCATCATCTGATTGCACTTTACGCTACCGTTTGATTCGTTGTTTTAAGAAAAACTGTGTGTCTTGTCTTTTCTAACGAGAAGAATTATAATCGAGATAGGAAACATTCAATCTCGATCTATTCGAAGATAGAAGTCATAGTTGAGCTAAGTTTTCATCGTAAATTCAAATTATAAGTCAATAAGTACAAAATAGTATTAGAATAGTTTAAGAAATAGAAAAAAAATGTTTAAAGTGCATCTACGTGTTTATCTCGTCCTCGTTTCACAAACGAGCTATATTTTATTGATTTTTATTTTACAATTAGATTCGAGAATCCACGCCTATTTCCATACATATATATATACATGTTTAAGTTGTCTTATGTTAGTTACTTACGGTATTTTAATGTTTTTTCTTACAAGTCGCGTATTTATTTGCGATCAACATGGCGATCGCACGAATCCGTTTAAAACGAGTATTTGTAACCGGTGCGCGTAATATTATTTATTCATCGGACGATTCAAAAACTATTTTATTGTCAATATATTCAATATGTACGGATATATCGTAGTTTCTGTCTAAAATCGATCTATCCTTGAAGAAAATTATCATAGTTGCAAATTAATGTATACGACGTTTTATATTATTGTCTACATTTTTTCTCTCAGAATAATAAAGAAATTAAAATAACGTTAACATATAAGCATACATGTTGCAAATGATTTAAATTGATCACGAAAATAATTTCGTTCCAATAATTTAACAGTTTAACAAATATATTTTACAAAGCTTCTTGTATTATATATTTTACAAAATATGCGTCCATATCACTCAAAGGGTTAATTATAGAGATATTTTCATAAGAATTAAAATCAAAAAATGAACTCTCTTACATTTCTTTTGTTTCGATTGAAGATCTATGAAAAAATATAATACTTTGAAAGAAAGTATCCACCCGGGGGGAAATAAATATCGTTTCGAAGATCGACCCAAAGGTGATCGCGCGCAGTGTGCGCAGTGTGCGCACGCGACTCGTATTACCTGGGATAGATCGAGTCGGCGCACTCGCAGTGACTCACGTCGAATCGTCGACGAGTGGGTGTGCAAGTTACTTACGTTGCATACGTTCAATGTACAGGGCCGCTGCATTGGATATCAACAATAGGGCTCTTATGTTTTTAAAAAGAAAAGTAAACGATGCAAAAAAAAAAGAAAGAGAAACAAAGAGAAAGAGAAAGAGAGAGACACGAAAGCAAAGAAAGTCAACGTTGCTTTCTCTCGATTTTCACGTTTCACTCTTCTCCGTTCAACGTTTTAACTGGAGAGAAGAGAATCTTATATATATACATGGTCGTTAACGGACCTAAACGAGACACGTTGGCCTTAAAAAAAAATAAAAAGTAAACTGGAATGTTTAACGACCATTTAAATTTGCCGCCATCGCGATCGTTGTGTCACGTAAAAAAAAAGAAGACAACAACATAGTCGTCTTCTCTTTGTATAAGATTTTTGAAATAGATTATTTTATCATAGTAAACCTTTTTTTTTGTTTTTGTTTTTTTTCTCTTTTTAATTCTAAATATCTTAGAGGAACATTTTACGCAAGGTTTTTGCAAGAGATTTATCCGTCTATGCGAGAATTCTGCATACTCTGTCGAGTTAGTGCACTTGCGACATACTCGTAAAAGTATTAGTGTGTGAGCTTTGCCATAGCTATCTATTCCTATCCTGTGTTCTTTTTTAAATGTATAGGTTGGTACGTTGGTACCTACGCATAATCGGTGAAGGAAATCTAACGTTTAGCGATATTCACGCGAATAAACGCCTCGTAGAATCAACGCCGACGCTTTTAAGCAAAATAATCCTCCTCTTTCTCTCCTTTGATCGTTCCTTCGTTTTTATGGGATTTTTTTTTGCTATCGAGTAGAGGGGGGTGATTCCTTAATGTATTAGTGTTTCAATACAATCGAATGGAAATTGAGTTGTTGATAATAAAAGAAAGGAATGAGAATCTATAAAATCTTTTTTTTATTGTTAATATGGCGTTAGTTATTAAAAACAAACTAGAATGATAAGAAAAAAATAAATAAAAAAGTTAAAATGATAAATAATGATTTAATATGTTATTTACGATTAACAGTTATAAGTACACTTATAATTTTTTCTGTCTTTTTGTTTTTATTTATTTATTTTTTTTTTATATATTGTAAAACGAGTAGACTAGTGTAAGAAAAGGGAAGAAGAAGAAGAAGAAGAAGAAGACGAGAATAGCGACGCAAATGCGTTTGATTTGTTTTTCTTTTTTGTTTTGGTTTTTGTTTTAATGTTTATCAAATGTTCAGTAATAGTAGCAGTAGTAGTTTATTATTCAATATGTAATTTTTTTTGTCTCGATTTATATAAAGATAGTGAAAAAGATCGGTGTAATTATGCGCAATAATCGTGAATCCAGTGTTGCATTTAAAATGAACATAAACACCTTCCTATGTATAATATACATATATATTAAATAAATATTTGCATAAGTCATAACGCATAACGTGCTATACTTTTTTTTTGTCTA